GTTAGTTTAATGATCTGACCTCTCTATTTTTTGTAGGAAACTCTAATCATAAAATGGTAATAACTGCATGTAAAGATTAGTGAAACAATTCAACTAAAAAATATAGAGTATATGTAATCCATTGTTTAGTAGGGATTTCTATGATTTAGTTTAATTTTTAAATGTGGTTATGACTTAAGAAATTAAATCATAATTTTTTAATTATAGGTAAAATGAATAAAGATTTAAACTCAAATGGAAACATTTTCAATGAGATGATAGTTCTTCTAACACATTTCATCTGGAAATTATTTACTCATTAAAATTTAACTTAAGCAATGTGTTTTCCACACTATAAATGTCTTTATGGAACTTCCCCACTGTAGCTCTGCATGCAAGCTCATTATTATATATGGCACAAGGCTATCAAAGACCAATATTACATAGAATCATCAGATGGGATAAAGGAATACAGAATGCAAACCCTTATTACAATCTACATTTTGTGTATTATGGTTTTTATTCAATTTTTAGGATCACATTTATCAAGGATATATATCTTATGTATTGATTTTTGAACAATTTTCCTTTAGTTTCAAACATTTTTCTAAAAGATAAACTGGAAGAGAAGGAAAAAAAACCCTCCAAGATAATTAATTTTGGAAGATTATAGAATTATCAATATGGTTGTATTATCTTTGCTTGTTTTTCTGAAGAGTATTTTGGGTTAAAAAATGTTTTAATTTTTCCTAATTTTTTTGGCTTTTAAATTTAATACTTCTAACATAGGAGAAAAGTAACCCTGATCAATGCCTGAAGGGCTAATTAGCTCTCAGAGAACCATCCTACATGGATATTAGGTGACTTGTAACAACATCATATGAGTATGAAATATTTTGTGACATTTTGTCTTCCACCAATTAGTGCATTATATAGAGGTGCAGCTGTGCAACTTCACTTTGAGTATTGATTGAAAGTTTCCTTTTTTTTGTCCCAAGTAGATTATACTCCAGAGGCAAAATCACATACTAAAAAATCTTACTTTTGTATGAAATCAGTACATCTAAATATGAATGTGAATCATCATATTGTTCAAATCAACTACATTAAGTATATAATTGATCTTCAAAATATAAATAATTCACTTAAAGTAAAATGAAATATAATTTTAATATGTAAATACAAAAATTATTAACAGGCTATTTTATATGCTTTCTTTTTATATCTTCAAAATGTAGTCTGCATTTTGCATATTTAACACATATCAATTCTGGCTAGCTATAATTTCAAGTGCTGAATACTCACATGTCTTGTGGCTACCTGTTGGGCAGTATAGCTCTAGAATATGTCATTTACTCTTACATTACAATTGCAATTTAAAGAATATCTTAATTCCAGGAGAATAAATAAATGCCTACCTAAGTGCATGCTCATTGTGGTATCAACTGATTATTGAGTGTACTAAATAATAATCATAATCTTTCTTACATAATAAAATTTCCTTAAGAGAGCTTTCCTAGTACCCAAATACAGTATTTAATAGAGTTATAGACCACATGTTTAATGGCAACTTCAAAAAAAATTCATATGTAATAAACATGTGGAACTCAATCTTGCATTATTAGTATTGTTAAAGTTGTCAATTGTCGCTATACTTAGACTTGCACAATTGTGTGTGAGCAGGGTATTTCTGTATTTATAAAAACATATTTGCTATTAATATGTAAACTGTATATGACAAACACAAAAATGTATCTTTGTTAGAGAGTGAACTTTGGGTCATCTCAGAAATATACCAAATTTAATAATTTAATAATTCCAAATCATAGATGTCTCTCCAAGAAATTTCTAATGGATTCTGGTACAGGACTCAGTGGTAGAACTCAAATCAACACTGCTTTTTAAAACTCTAAATTTCATTGGAAAAACAATTATCTATGTCTAAGTCACATCTCCAAGTAAAATAAGGGAAGCCTATTTTAAATCTAACTGACCTCCAACAATTTGAATGATAATTATGATTTTTAAATTTGGAAGTTCATGTTTTAAGGAGGATATGCTATAGTGACCTATTTATGATTGGATATAGCATCAAGATTAATTCAAATAGATGAAACTGTAGACAGAAGTTTAGGATGTCAGCAAGGAGAGAAATTATTCCTAAGTGGTGTGGAAGCATTAAAATGGTTTTTAAAAAGAGCTGAAAAACCTTGCAAATGGTGACTTCTTTTTCTAGTTATAAGGATAAATATATTTTAATCATTTGGGATTCTGTGGTCTCTCATATTTAAGAAAAAAATAGTCTTGCTATTTTAAGTTAGAGACAAGAAAATAATTTAAGAAGAAAAAAGCCCATTGAAAATTTAATTAAAACAAATCATTGGAGTAGGCAGTCTTCAGTACTGGTCAGATTATAGAAATCATTACTTTTAAAAAATTATAATTATACCACTTACCCAACTTTTTGCTTCTATCTTTACTCTCCTGGTAAAATCATTATGTGTTTAAAGGGAGAGAGAACAAAATAGGTAAAGCTGCAGCAAAAGGTACAAGGATACAGTCCCTTCCTGGAAAGAGGATTTTGTGGCGAACCATTTCTCCCATAATGCATCCCACAGACCATATATCCACTAGAACAGGAGAGAGGGAAGTGAAGAAAAGGGAGGAAAGTAAAGTTAACTAAGAAAATTATTCTCTGAAGGAGTAGGAAAAAGAATAGTTTGGTTAGAAGATACAATTTTCATCTCCCACCAAAAGTTGGCAAAAAAGGTGAATTAAAATGAGCAATATAATATTACATAAACAATACCCAGTATGAGAAGTCTAATTATTAAAAATCACTGTATGTGTGACTTAGATTGCTTCTTTTGTGCTATAAAGAGGTGACATGGAGAAGAAGCCACTAAACCAAAAGTTCTCCATGGCAGGTGACCACTAAAAGCCATGAAGGGGTTGTTAATATCATTGGCTGGATGTAGAGAAAATAATCTTTATCAGCCTGTAGGGATGGCGGATTTCATTTTCTATTCCATTCAGTGTGTGGAATATGACAAGAGACCAGTTTTTTGAGGCAGTGCTCCAAAGTGGGGTACATACAACCAAATCCAAGAAACTAGGAAATGGCTGGGACCTCCTGGAAGCCCTGGTATCTAGGACTTACTTTCTCCTTCAGAAGTTATCCTTATAAACAGACATCAGTCATAGTTTTTATTTGAAATATTTCAAGAAACAAGACATATGATTAATGAGCACATGTATAAAAGAGTTATCTAAAAATAAAGTGAAAAAAGTATTAAAGGTGTTAAAAAAATTCTTACATACATGTATTTATTTCTCAATTCTTAAACTTTGAACCAAACATGCTTCACCTTCTCTGACCAGTCTTTGCCCTCTTCCAGCTAGCTTCTTTAGTAAGGACAAAGGGAACTTCAGGGGAAAATGTTACGCTGAAATGCCCCTTGGGGAAGGAAGGCAGGGTTAGGTGCACAGGATAGCTGGGCATGCCTGATATGGGAACAAGCGGGTTTTTCTGCGTGACTACCTTCCTCCCTCATGTAGGTAGGAGGGCAGTACAACAGTGCTAGGCATGCCTTCTCCATGGGTCTAGCAAAGCCAAAAACCAAGGCAGTACTTGCAACCCTTTCTAGTGAAGGAAGGAAAAGGGATGAGATTACATACCATTTGTGCAGTAAAAATCTGAAAGCCATGATAGCCAAATTCAGACCCTCTAGACCCTTGTAGATCCTTGATTTCTTGAATTTTTTAATTGGTTCCCCTTTGACTTTTAAAAAATAATTTGTGAGGAATGTATACAAATATCTTCTTTTCCAGATAAGTTAGATGTGCTGTTGTCTTGGGAAGAGGACCAGATTTGCCTCTTCCAAGATAAAAGATTACAGAATTCTGTTATCGTCCACCAAAGTAACGTGACCTTCCTACAAGTGGACTTTTTCCCTTCCTTTGCATGAATGCACAAATGTATTGACTTTCTTCTAATATTTTTAAGCTTTGGTGGCCATGGAATTATCATAGAAGTACCCTGTAGCACCTGCACATAAAAATACAAATGATAATTTTTCTTATAGACTTCAGAAAAATACACTGCTAGGAACTAAATAGAATAGAACATAAAGATAAGTATGAAAGGTACATTAAATACATCTATACAATCCTAACTGAACAGAGTTATAATTCCTAATTATATTGAATTTGTTTTTTAATATGCTGTATTACTTGTTAGAGATATTCGTTTCAAAATAGTATATTGCAATGTTTTCTAATAGGTATTTTATAAATACTTCATTTTAATAAAATAAAATCCGAACATATTTTGAAGAGTCTTTCTACCTTTTCTTTTAACATGTTCATGAACACTAGATTTTCTTTATGAAAACTGTATTATAAAATTTAATCTTTTTGTAATTTAGGAAAATTTACTAGACAGTTGCTACTCTAAATATTATTTACAGTTTAAAGTAGTAAGAAATGCTTATCCAACTTGAACAATTTGGATTATTCTAAATTGACTATTCATGGAGAATTTGTGGAAATTCTTGTTCCAGGGATTTGTGGTATCTTTTTGTTTATCTTTTTCTAGGACTAGATACATCAATTTAAGATAGGACATAAAGTCAGACTGTTAAGTGCAATAGACAGATTCCTTCCTGTTCTCATACTCGTTTTGAGCTGAGATGCAACCCAAACAGCAGTTCTTTTCAGTACCTATAGCATGTGTGCTGGTCAGCATCCACAAAACTGTCTGATCAGACTACAGTCACACTTCATTTTAACTCTAACTTTAGTGTTCTTCTAGCAAAGTTTACTGCTCAGAAACACCCATCACATTTTTAATGAGTGATTCTTCCTAGTAGCATTTTAAAAAAACCTCTGAATATGAAGTCTGGTAGCCCTATTTAAAAAAAAAATTCATAAACATGAAAGAGAACATTATTCTTGGCTATCCAAGTGTATACTCATATTCTTCTCAACTTGTGTGGATGCTGCCTCTGAAGCCTCCTTACCATTCTCCTTGTAGCCCATCCCCAGGATGACCTCGGGGGCTCTGTAATAACGCGTCACCACATAAGGAGTCATCATGAAGCTTGTGCCTGCTGTCCTGGCCAGTCCGAAGTCAAGGATTTTCAATGTGCAATCAGACTTGACTACAATGTTACTCGGTTTTAAATCCTGACCATGGGGATAAGAGAAGAAATTAAAAGCCAGCATCAGATGGGAACATGTGATTTCCATCTGTGTAGTTAACATGGCAGTCTTGCAATAGCCCTGATGGGGTCCTCCTCAACTGCACAGCCCTATGTAAAGCAAATGATTCCTACCCCAAAAGTTAACAGTTAGTGTTTTTTTTTTTAATATCCTCAGAAACTTTTCTAAACTCAGAAGAGAATTACACTATCATTTTTACAATGTAGGTTCATCTAGGGAAAAAAATGTACCATTTACTGTCACCTGTTTAGTTTACCGTTTATGGAAACATAAATCTTTAATTTATACTTCAGTTCTAGGCCTGGCAGAAGAGCAAATCAGGACAGCTGTATTTATGCTTCCAGAAGCAAACTGGAAATGAACTGCCTTATTTCAGCTGCACATATAACCTCTGCCAATCAAGAGGCAAGCATGAGGCTTCTCAGAAGCTGACTCTAAATGAAACAAAACATTAAACAAAATCAGCTATAGTATAGCTAAAGTTTTTTACTATATATTAGTGAACTATGTGCTAATTCTACTGTAAAATAAATGAAGAAGTATATTGTATTTAAACAAGCCCCCTTACATAAAGAAAATAATCTGCAGTTGCTCTTTTTCTCTTCCAAAAGGCATTTTAACTGTAACTCTGGAGTGTTCTTACCCTGTGAATAATTCCAGCAGAGTGAAGGTGCTTGATACCACACAACATTTGGTATAGCAGGTAAGACATTCGCTCATGGTCTAATTCCATCTGAATCACCTGACACAAATTGGCATCCATCAATTCCATTACTAAGTAACTGGAAGGTAAATCCACAATGTTAGTTCCAGGTCACAAGACATGTAAAGTCCTTCAAACAAGTCACTACCCTCTCTTAAATCTGTAGTATTCCAATCTTCCCAGCTGTACCTTTTACTGAATTAAGAATATGAAAAACTTTTAAGTATAGTATGCATGCTAGCCATGGTAACTACCACAAAGCTGCTAATAAAAGCAGCATTTATTAGTGTGTGGTTCCTACCTGTATATTTTCTACCTTCATTTTGTTTTCATTTTTTCCCTCCTGAATTTCCTGAACTCTTTTCTAAGTATTATAATTACAAATAGAAAACAAATTCAGAATAACATCTTATGAAATACAATGCATCTGTGTTTAAACAAGACAATTTGCTAGGATTCACTTTCTTTTCTCTGCTTTTTGTCACTATACTTCCAGGTAGATTCTTTTTACACAAAATCAAAGGCACCACAAAAATAGGAATAAAGATTGAAGGTGATTTTTATCATCTCTCTTATTAATATTTCTCAAAGTGAACTGACTTATTCTATAAAGCTCACAGAATTAATAGTAATAATAAATACATAATAAATAATAAGCTTTCCTTGACTGGACCAAGAACATAGGACAATGAAGCACAAAGAGCCAGAGGCCAGAAAGAAACAGAAGTATCTCCAGGAAGTAACACCAGACACAGAACCTTCTGTCCTATCACTGGATCGCTTTCATTTGCAGCCAGCTCTTACTTCCTTTTGATCTCTACAAGGCATTTTATCTGTTTGATCTTTTGTCAGTTTCCCCTGTGTTATTTGTTATAGTCTCCTTTCTTTCATGAGTTTTGTTACTTACACATCCTGGAACTCCTCCAGTGTTTTCTGGGGTGTGAAGACATTTAATAAACTAATAATCTAGAAAAGAGACAGTAGAAGGTACAGAGGAAGGAGAGAAAGAAAAAGGGAGAGAATGAATTATTTAGAAAGCATATTTAAATAATTATTTATTCCAACTCAAAGCTACACACTAATGCTATGGCAGAAATAGAAATGCAATATAGAGTAGACTACAGGGTTGTGATGTACTCAAACAGAAAAGGAGGAAGAGCCATGGCAGAAAACCAGGGCAGCACAGAAAGACCCAGGCAGGCTCAGCAAGGCCACGGCTCTCCCCAAACCAACCAGACGGTGTTGGGAATCCAGGCAGTGCTCTGACTCAACATTTTTTGTGTATTGTTACTTCAGTTTCTTTTGCTTCTATCTCACACTCAAATAGTATTTTAACTAATATTCCAATGGTATGTATGTGTGGGGAAAGGTCTATGACATCACTGATGAATTTAGTGGAAATGAATTAAAAAGTTACCAAAATTCTGTTTCTTAATTGTTTCCTGCTTTGCTTATTTTATATATTAGGTAGTAAAATGGTTTACTTTCTGGCATAAGTGAATTTAAAACAAAAATAAAAAACTGTCAAATTTCCAAAATAGATTGCGTACTTAAATAATTCAAAATGTTCTTTAAGCTAAATATTCTGCACTAATGTGCCAGTGAGAAATAAAAATAAAAATATACATAACAACCTTCCACTTAGAGGATACCTCCAACCATTTCACAAAAGCTGGGTAAGTACAAGCTTAAGACTCAGACATCTTTAAAATATGAATTAATGAATTTCATTAAAGTTCATTAAGTGATACAGAAACATATAAAATAATAAAAATAAAATAAAATGGTTTTAAACATCTGAGAAATGCAATCAATTCTAGGGAATGCTTTAGGCTTTGAGTAGTTTTCATTTGTTGAGGAATTATTGAGGAAAAAAAACCACAATACCATCCAGTATTCTCATACATATACAGAAATAGCTATAACACATCAAAAACCCAAATCACTTACTCTAAAGCAACCTTGCAGTATGGAATATGAGTATAGAAATAAAAATATTTCAAAATATCTTTAAAACTTGTGATTAAAGTGCCTTGTTATTCTGTGTACCTTGCTTTAGTGTGTGTTGAAAAAATCTGTGTGGCATATCTCCCATTGGAACATATATGGTGGGCCTGTTTTCTAGTACTTTATCAATCTTGGCAGGTAATTCATTTTAATATTTGTTCAACCAGAAACATCAGGGACTGTGCATAGGACATACACACACAAACAGCACACACATACACATACACACCACAAATAACCCTTAAAGATGGGAAAATGCTAACCCATATCACCCAGTGAATAATCAATCAAGTAATTAAATTTATCTAGAAAATAGTATTACAATTTTAAATAAATATTTATTATTTTACATGGTAAATACCCCACTGTATATTCCTATTTTCCTTTTTCCTATACCCTTGTTTTATCACCTTCACCTTTTCTTATTTCCCTTTGAGGACATCCCCTCTATTCTCTCTTTGTTCCCTTGTAAATTCTAATTCCTACTGAGAACCAAATAAAAATCATGTTTGTACAAACACATCATCCCAGGTGTCTCCATTTTAGTTCACGAGTTTCCAGGCAGGAGTCTGATTCAGTCCCTTTATTCCAGCACTTTAAAATGCACAGATATGAATCAATGTTTATCATGGGCCTGCTATCACACTAGCTATCACTTCCTAGAATTAAGTATTCATTTTCTAAATGGATTTTCTTCTCTATTATTAAAGATTTAATCAGGATTACTGCACTGCTTTACTTGACTTTCCACACCAATAACAGAGTTTTGCACTCTGTCGGCTTTTACTCAGTATTGCAAGTGCTAATAAGAATTTACATTTGGCTATAAGTGAACTTTCTGTTAAAAAGTTCCAGAAATGTATTTATACACATACACGCACATGCATACATATATACCTACATGCACACACAAAGGGGGTGGTTAGCAGATAGGATGCCATTTATAAATTATCATTTGAATTTGGAACTTCTTTTTAGGGGTCATAATCGTGAACACCCATATTTCAGCAAGAACAGGGGGTATGTATGATTCCGTCAAATCAGCCAAGTAAGTGGGAATTTCTGCACAAATCTATTTATTGCATTATAGGAGCTGGAAGGAGGATTAGGGAAATCTAAATATATGAAAACACAGACTGCAAAATTTTCCATACAGTTGCTTCACTGCTTGTATCCATCCATCTTCCACTGCCTATGGTATTTCTCATCCTTTTCGCTATCATAAAAATAGATTTCATTGGTCATGTGGTTAATCTTGCTCCTGCCTTTATTTAACACACTGAAATACCAAATTGCTTTAATAGAATGGCTTTTCTTAGGAATCATCCTTCCCATTTTTCCAAATTCCTTTCTAGAGGTATCATGTTCCCTGCATGGCCAAATTAGAAAGGAGTACTTACTTCATAAAATTTCCCTTTCTTAGCAAGGCCTTTCCTGTTCAACCTATTTGAAAGTATAACCACACCCACCCCTCACTGACTAGAATTTTTTTATCTCCCTTCATTGCTGTCTTAGTTAATAGTGCGTATCACTATCTGACATTCTACACATCTACCCATCTCACCATGGGCTGCCTTTCTCTGGCCATGAGGAGAACATGAGCTCCTCATGGGCAGGGATTGTCTTCTTATCATCATTGCTGTAGTCTTAGCATCTAGAGCACCTAGATCTACACTTGGCACATTTATTCATTTAACAAGCATTTGTCAAATGGCTAAACTAAAAAGTTGCTGGAATTTAGAGTAATAGAAGAAAAGAGAAACACTGTCATTGGGCCTGAATTCACATATTTTTGTTTCAAAAAATCTTTCAACTACATACTCACACATTTGCTTCTTTTTAGTGCCATTGATAAATTGTTAATCTTATGGCAAATTCACTTGTTTATAAACCACACTGATAATTTCATTTATTCTGTGTGATTTTATTCCTAAGAACAACTTTGTGGGAGTTATGATAGTTATTTTTATCATAGTTTTATTGTAATAATTTATAAAATATATATATGTATGTATTAAGTTATATGTACTATTTTATTATGATTTATATGTTCATAGTATTTAGTAAAATAATGAATTATTTCCCATTTATCCTTACTAAGAATAGGAGCATGGATAGAATTCTAGAGGCTTGAAGAGGCTTATACTCTGAAGTGGAAAAGTCCTGTAATGGTGTTTGTGCCCTATTGCGTTTCAGTGAAAAATGCTCTTAATGAACCTGTTCTGAAATGCTTTGCAGATATGCCCCACATTTTCCCAACCCTACAAAGAACAAGATGTCAGAACACAGTGTGTACACTGAACAGTTGAAGGTTATTGCCAGGCTACAACTAAAAGAAAAAAGAGATAGATATATTTACCTGTTAAATATTAAATTCAAATTATAAAAAATAACATTATTCTGTAGGAAATCTTGGTTTTGGTTTTGGTTTGTTTTTACTTTGGAAAAGCATGGAACTCTCCAGTTGATCTGGAGCAAGAAAACCAAATATGTTTAATTTCATAGCAAGGAAACATCTATCAAATTCATCCCCTCTATGCCATATGGTTTTTAGATCATTTTTAAGCAGAAAACTACCATGAGGACAATGAAATCAAATGTAGCATATGGGCAGGATAAACAATCTTAAGAGGCAGAAAATGTAAAGTAAAGAAAGCCTTTCCTACTCAGATTGACATACTGATTTTTTCTTTCCCTAATCTCACAACTTCCCCATGCTAGGGGTTTAAAAATAACTCACATTTTTATGGTTCACACACTTCATGAGGACCAGCTCCCGGTAAGCTCTCTTGGCATGTGTTTGGTTTTGAAAGGGTCTGCTGAGCTTCTTAATGGCCACATTTCTGTCAAGGACAGCATCGTACGCAGCACTGCAGAGACACAGAGCAATCCAAAATTAAGAACAAACAACCTTTAGCATTCCTGTCTACCAAACCAAGGATGAGTAAAGAAAATACTATTTTGGAATCCTACTCAGATACCTTCTACTCAGGAAAAATGTCAATCAGCCTATAAAAAAAGATGTGAGAGAGTAGTATAAAAACATTCTACTTACTAGGAAAATAAAAAAGAAGATTATCTTGCCAAGAAACAGCATATAATTACATCAATGAGTGGAGGACAAAAGAGACAAGTGCTCACCTTTCCCACTAACCATGTGACTATGGCAAGCCATCTACTCTCTCTGAGCTGGCATTTCTCAGCTATCAGTATGTGATACTTTGGTTTTTCTGTAGCTATAAAACTCCATCCCTTTTTGGTTATTTAAGTAGACATTCATTCTTTCCCCATTCACAGGAACCAGTTTTTAAGGTGTGACATGAATTGCCATGAATGTACAGACTGGTGGATGGTCAAAGCGCACTCATTAACAATAGCAAAGTTCGAAATAAGGAATGCAATCAGGGAGATATTTCAAAAGCATAAATAACTGCATTTAAATACAAAGACAGAAATGAGTGCCACCAACATTGAAGACTTTAAGCTATTGGAGAATGGTAATTTACCATACTTTGCAAAAGCAATCAATACACCATACTGTTTCTCCCATACCCAGAATATGTGAGTCTGGGGATCAAATAAGAAAGTGAGTCTCTTCTTGTTATTATACATAATGACCCACTAACAAAATTTTTTTCCCCTCCCTGCAACTTTGGGTATGCTGTATTTTGTCTTAGTTGCCAGGAAGGAAGGCAGCAACCAGTGTTCCCTATAATAGATTTTATCTATTGAATTGGAAGTGACATTAACTATTTAGGACTCAGGCCACTAAACTAAAAAATAAAGAGATTACTATATTGTAAGATAATTATAGACTCATAGGATAAAGTTGGACAAAGTCTTAGAGTTCGTCTGGTCCATGCCTCCATTTAATACGTGTTGCTCTCCAAAATATTTCCATCAAAAGTTTGACCAGTCTCTGCTTGAGCCATCTCCAAAAACACAGATCCTTTTAACATCAAGGCTGCTCATTCTGTTGTTGAACGGCTATGACAGAAATATTATTCTAATGAGCATCCTTGTCTCTGTGGTTTCTTTAGACAACTGTCAGCCCTGCCTTCCAGGGCAGCTCAAAATGAAGTACTTTCATTTTCATTATTTATGATGACCCATACTGTTTGAAATTCATGAAAGGACTGAGTGCAATGCCTGGCATACTTTATAAGCACTCAATAACTCCTAGCTTTTCTTATTTTTCCCTTAAGTTTTTTTCTTTCTTAAGCTAAATATCACTAGTGTCCTACCACCATTTGTCAGAATGTGATTTCAAGTCATAGCACCATCTGGTCAGTTCCTCTGAATAAGTCCCAGTCTGTCAATATCCTCTAAAAATGCAGACCCTAACTGAATGAACATTGCTACTCTGGGTATGGAATATAAGTGAAGATTAAAGTAGGGCTGTAAACGTCTTCACTCATTCACTCACTAATTCATTCTGTTGACACATTAATACAACTAAGTCTGTCCAGGCTTCTTTAAGAACTACATCACATACTATTAACTCGCCATGAGCCTATGTTAATGAAAAATACTGTCTTTTTAAAAATTAAACTCTGTATGTCAGCAGTGGTACTTCTGTTCTTGTCTCTGTTCTTGTTAACCTACAAGTGGTAATACAAGTAAAGGGAAGAGTCAAATGGACCTACATCTCATAGGTCATGCACAAGAGCAACTGATAATTTGGAAATACAGGAACTAAACTTGCCTAACTTGCCTTCTGAAGTTAAGAAATTTATTAGCAGAACAGTCACCTTAAAAAGAAAGACTAAATTTTAAGCCAAACCAACTTAGCTGAAGTTGCTAAAATAGCTAAAGAAAGAATAGCAATTGGTCATATGGGCCTACCAAAAGTCAGGGAGGAAATTCTGGCACTGCCTGGGCCAAAAAAGAAAGGGGCCTTCCAAAGAAGCCCAGGTATCCAGCCAGCTGGGCAGATGTCTGCATCTCTATTGGGATTGCAGACACTGCAGGCAGCAGCAGTCTTCTGGGTGTCTCCTCAGCCTGATTCTACCCTTTGCAGTCAACAGTCTGCTCATCAGGCTCTCTTCTGGAATTTTGCATGCAAGAATCTTGCCCATATTTGTGAGATTGACTATTATATTTTTCATAATTTAATAAATCCACATCTGGTTTTACATCTGAGCCTTTAGTGAGGCCAATGTGAGTCTGCCTTCCTGAGATACTGACCAGACACTGCAAGACAGTAAGGCAGCTCCAACTTCATATGGAATGACAGAAAATGCTGCCCTCTGGGATTCTTGGCAGGTTCTGACCAGTTTCTTCTAGAAATGTTGTGGCATTCTCCCTTCCTCCTGTACCTCTTCCTTAAAGCAATTTTCGGTATGAATCTCAGGTAAATGTGGAGTTATGGGCAAGCCACTTACATTTCTGAAATCTGCTTCCTCATATTTAAAATGGAGATAATTACAACTTGACAAGATTGTTGTAGGGAGTAAATGAGGTAATAATGGATATACAGTGCCTCACTTAGAGTAAGCAGTCAGTAGATACTATTGCTATCTTTAAATAGAAAATCCTTTCAGGAGTCATTGTGTAATGCAGGGCAGGATAAAATGGCATGTGCTATAATTAGACATGTATCTACTAATCAGCAGTTTCTAATCTTTCTGCTAATTACAAATACATTCAACTATACCACTATCTTGACCACATTTCACAAGCTTGTCCCACGATATAAAAGTTTGGAGCAAAAGTCTTGTTAAATCTAGATATATTACAATCATACAGTTACCACTTTAATATGCTATCCAGTATGATTTGTTTTTAATGAACCCACATTCCCAATGACTGCTACATCCTTTAATGGCTTAATAGGTATCTTTTCTAACCAACACTAGAATCAATGTCAAGTTCAGCAGGTGTCTTCTATGACCTCTTTATTCCCTCTGAAGAAATAAGAATGTTTGTACAGTTGGATGAAATACAGTGGTTTGGCTCACTGGTCTTCCATTTACCCCCTTGTATCATGCCTTCCTGTATTGAAGAGACTTGAGAGTAAGATGTACAATTCCCAGATGCCTTTGTAGCTAGCTCGCTGATTCCAGGAAGGACCTGCCACACAGATGTACTATGAGAGATTTGTAAGGCACGGTGAAGGTGAGCATCTCCTCACATTTCTTGGTTGGCAGGCAAGAAGGTGTCATGGATTCCTGTCACTCTCCAGAATCCTGAGTGAGAAGGGGTGAAGCAGTTGTGGCAGAGGACACCAGGTTCCAGGACCCAGGCTCCAGCAGTGATGACAGCAGTAACGAGTAGGCAGTTCCAGCTCAGTGATGTCCAAATCTCAGTTACTGTCATGCATTCTGGAAGCTCAGTGGTTCTACATGCTCTCAGAGGTGCAAGCTCGCCTGGTGATTCAGCTCTCTACTTTCTGGGAATCATTCCAGGAAGGCCAGACCAGCGCACACTTCTTCAGGCCTTCCAATGATTTGGCAAGCATCCCATTGACAATATTAAATCTTTGCCTACTTAAAATGGTTCTGTTTCCTGCCATGAACCCTGGATGGCACTACAATCTTCCCCATTTTCTGTAATTACTCAGTGATTACTGGCAGCAGTTTAGCAAATACATCTGCAAATTGACATCAGTGGTGCTGTACAGTCACAAATTAATGTCTGAAAGTTTTGCATTACTCTGGAGTCATTTATTAAAGCATCTTGTTCTGTGGAATCTTACTTTTTTCTTTCAATTGTTTCTATTTTATCTTAATGCAGGTAAATGAAATAAATTTTTATGAAAATTCTCCTGCAATATCTTGATGCACAGTAGTAACTCACCTCCACTTATACCACATTTGTTCATATAAGAAAGATATAGCCTTGTGTTATTATGCTTCTGTCATTTAGCCCAGTTTTAGATGCTGTAAAGTTATGTTTACTTCCTTGGATGTATTTATATAAATGCACACACATATATACAAACATACATCCCTGCAGGCAAATCTTTCTCTCAGCATCTTTATCAGTTGTTTTTTCTTCTTCTAGCAGTTACAGACAATCTCTTACACAAATATCCTAAGTCATAATCAATTAGTTGAAAATTTCCTTGTTTGCCTTCCCTTTCACACCTAAAATATTATTGATCATATAAACACGTCGGTGGGCAAAAAAAAAGTAAATAAAAAACAAACAAAAATCCCTAGGCATTATGGAAAAAACACTATGTCTTCAAAAATAATAATTAAAAAAATTTATTAAATCTTTGCCTACTTAAAATGGTTCTGTTTCCTGCCATGAACCCTGGATGGCACTACAATCTTCCCCATTTTCTGTAATTACTCAGTGATTACTGGCAGCAGTTTAGCAAATACATCTGCAAATTGACATCAGTGGTGCTGTACAGTCACAAATTAATGTCTGAAAGTTTTGCATTACTCTGGAGTCATTTATTAAAGCATCTTGTTCTGTGGAATCTTACTTTTTTCTTTCAATTGTTTCTCTTTATTTTATCTTAATGCAGGTAAATGAAATAAATTTTTATGAAAATTCTCCTGCAATATCTTGATGCACAGTAGTAACTCACCTCCACTTATACCACATTTGTTCATATAAGAAAGATATAGCCTTGTGTTATTATGCTTCTGTCATTTAGCCCAGTTTTAGATGCTGTAAAGTTATGTTTACTTCCTTGGATGTATTTATATAAATGCACACACATATATACAAACATACATCCCTGCAGGCAAATCTTTCTCTCAGCATCTTTATCAGTTGTTTTTTCTTCTTCTAGCAGTTACAGACAATCTCTTACACAAATATCCTAAGTCATAATCAATTAGTTGAAAATTTCCTTGTTTGCCTTCCCTTTCACACCTAAAATATTATTGATCATATAAACACGTCGGTGGGC